ATGCATATACTATCAGCTTTTATGATGCTGATAAAGATAGCACTTTGAATGCGCGGTTAGGGACCGTCTGTAATTCTGTCATGATGCTAAAATAAATAAATAATATTTCTCCACTCCTGTTCCAGAGTCAAAATTTACATTTGGTGTAGCCTATAATTTTACTGCAAGAAATGCTTAATTCTGCAGGGGTTAATACTATATTAAGCTATGTGAGAGGTTATGGACCTACAGTCAGTGTCCAGATTTTAGTTAGGCTACTATTCCATTTAACCCATCTGAACCATCCAGTTCCCTTGATATGACATTTTTCCCTGTGATTTTACTTTAGAATTTCTATAGCACCTCACAATCATCATACATAATATAGCCGGCACTGCTATCATCCTCTTTTGCCAAATCTTTCCCAAACATTACACTACTGATCTGGCCCTCCCTTCTCTCTATTTCAAAGCTTTTCTCTTATTGAATTAAACACAGACATTGTCCTTTTTGTCTCAGTGGATCGACATTAACAAGTTCCTAAAATCATTTGGCAAATGGTGTGTATTTGGCGTGCTACAGTTATGCCCTAAAGCTAACGTCAGATAAAAATAATGAAAGAATAACCTCAATGTAGCCTATAGATATGAATTGCACAAGAATTTATGCATTTTTAATACATTGTTTTCTCTTTATTCTACCCATTTATGGATTTTAATGCATCTCTTTATTCACAATATTCCATGACCCTAAACCTGCCCGCCCCGCAGATATAACCGCGGGGACTGCGGGTTATGAGTCAACCCCGCGCATTACTAGTTGCTTCGACAAGAAATTCCATACTTTTGGTGTTTTGTTGATGGTGGTGGAAAACACTCTCCAGCGCCGCCCCAGAATCTCCCATAAGTGTCCAATTGAGTTGAGATCTGGTGACTAAGATGGCCATGGTATATGGTCTACATCGTTTTCATGCTCATCAAACCATTCAGTGACCACTCGTGCCATTTGGATGGGGGCATTGTCATCCTATGGGGGCATCGCCATGGTAGCCAAAAATCAGCAAGACAAAGGAGCTGATCGTGGACTACAGGAAACGGAGGGCCGAACGCCCTCATTCACATCGACGGGGCTGTAGAGGAGCGGGTCGAGAACTTCAAAGTTGCTCTGTGTCCACATCACTAAGGATCTATCATGGTCCACACATACCAACACAGTCGTGAAGACAACGCCTTTCCCCCCTCAGGAGGCTTTGAAAACATTTGGCATGGGCTCTCAGATCCTCAAAAGGTTCTACAGCTGCACCATTGAGAGCATCTTGACTGGCTGCATCACCGCTTGGTATGGAAACTACTTGGCATCCGACCGCAAGGCGCTACAGAGGGTAGTGCGTACGGGCCAGTATATCACTTGGGCCGAGCTCCCTGCCATCCAGTACCTCTATACCAGCCGGTATCAGAGGAAGGCCCTAAAAATTGTCAAAGACTCCAGCCACCCAAGTCATAGACTGTTCTCTCTGCTACCACACGGCAAGCTGTAATGATGCACCAAGTCTGGAACTAACAGGACATTGAACAGCTTCTACCCACAAGCCATAAAACTGCTAAATAGTAAGTTAAATAGTTAGCCAAATAGCTACCCGGACTATCAGCATTGACCCTTTTTGTACTAACTTTTTTTGACTCATCACATACGCTGCTGCTACTGTTTATTATCCATCCTGTTGCCTAGTTACTTTATTCCTAGTTATACTGTATGTACATACAGTGCCTTCAGAAAGTATTCATACCCCTTGACTTTTTCCACATTTTGTTGTGTTACAGCCTGAATTTACAATGGATTAAACTGAGAGTTTTTGTCACTGGCCTACACACAATACCCCATAATGTCAAAGTGTAATTATGTTTTTCGATTTTGTATTACCAATTAATTAAAAACGAAAAGCTGAAATGTCTTGAGTCAATAAGTATTCAAGCCCTTTGTTATGGCAAGCCTAAATGAGTTCAGGAGTAAATAATTGTGCAATAATAGTGTTTAACATGATTTTTAAATGACTACCCCATCTCTGTACCCCACACATACAATTATCAGTCGAGCAGTGAATTTCAAACACAGATTCAACCACAAAGACCTGAGAGGTTTTCCAATGCCTCGCAAAGAAGGGCACCTATTGGTAGATGGGGGAAGAACAAAAAAAAGCAGACATTGATTCTCCCTTTGAGCATGGTGAAGAATTAATGACACTTTGGATGGTGTATCAATACACCCAGGCACGGGCATCCTTCCTAACTTAGATGCCGGAGAGGAAGGAAACCGCTCAGGGATTTCACCATGAGGCCAATGGTGACTTTAAAACAGTTACAGAGTTTAATAGCTGTGATAGTTTTCTTCTATGGATGAATCAACAACATTGTAGTTACTACACAATACTAACTTAATTGACAGACTGAAAAGAAGGAAGCCTGCACAGAATAAAAATATTCCAAAACATGCATCCTGTTTGCAACAAGGCACTAAAGTAATACTGCAAAAAATTTGGCAAAGCAATTAAGTAACTTTTTGTCCTGAATACAAAGTGTTATGTTTGGGGCAAATCCAATACAACACATTACTGAGTACCACTCTCCCCATATTTTCAAGCATAATGGTGGCTGCATCATGTTATGGGTATGCTTGTAATCGTTAAGGACTGGGAAGTTCAGAATGCAGCTAAGCACAGGCAAAATCCTAGAGGAAAACCTGGTTCAATATGCTTTCCACCAGACACTGGGAGATTAATTCACCTTTAAGCAGGACAATAACCTAAAACACAAGGCCAAATCTACACTAGATTTGCTTACCAAGAAGACAGTGAATGTTCCTGAGTGGCCGAGTTAAAGTTTTAACTTAAATCTGCTTGAAAATCTATGGCAAGACCTGAAAATGATCTTGCCATAGACAGAGCTTGAAGAATTTGACAGAGCTTGAAGAATTTTGAAAATAATAATGGGCAAATATTTGACTCACAGCTGTAATCACTGCCAAAGGTGCTTCTGCAAAGTATTGACTCGGGTGTGAATACTTATGCAAACAAGATATTTCTGTATTTCATTTTCAATACATTTGCTAAAAATTCTAAAAACATGTTTTCACTTTGTCATTTGTATTTGTATTTATTATGGATTCCCATTAGCTGCTGCCTTTTTCCTGGGGTCCAGAAAAATTAAGGCAGTTCATACAATTTAAAAAACATTACAATACATTCACAGATTTCACAACACACTGTGTGCCCTCAGGCCCCTACTGCACCACTACCACATATCTACAGTACAAAAATCCATGTGTACGTGTGTGTATAGTGCGTATGCTATCGTGTGTGTATATGCATGGGTCTGTGCCTATGTTTGTGTTGCTTCACAGTCCCCGCTGTTCCATAAGGTGTTTTTTATCTGTTTTTTAAATCTAACTTTACTACTTGCATCAGTTACCTGATGTGGAATAGAGTTCCATGTAGTCATTGCTCTATGTAGTACTGTGTGCCTCCCATAGTCTGTTCTGGACTTTGGGACTGTGAAGAGACCTCTGGTGGCATGTCTTGTGGGGTATGCATGGGTGACAGAGCTGTGCGCCAGTAGCTCAAACAGACAGCTCGGTGCACCCAACATGTCAACACCTCTCATAAACACAAGTAGTGATGAAGTCAATCTCTCCTCCACTTTGAGCCAGGAGAGATCGACATGCATATTATTAATATTAGCTCTCTGTGTACATCCAAGGGCCAGCCATGCTGCCCTGTTCTGAGCCAATTGCAATTTTCTTAAGTCCTTTTTTGTGGCACCTGACCACACGACTGAACAGTAGTCCAGGTGTGACAAAACTAGGGCCTGTAGGACCTGCCTTGTTGGGGTATTGGGGTATTGTGTGTAAATGGGTGAAAAAACAAATCTATTCAATCCATTTTGAATTCCGGCTTTAACACAACTAAATGTGAAATAAGTCAAGGGGTAGGAATACTTTATGAAGGCACTGTATCTACCTCAATTACCTCATACCCCTGCACATCAACTTGGTACTGGTACCCCATATATATAGCCAAGCAGTGGATGCTTCTGAGGGGAGGACTGCTCATAATAATGGCTGGAACGGAGCACATGGAATGGCATTTTACACATGGAAACCTTGTGTTTGATGTTTTTGATACCATTCCACTATTCCGCTCCAGCCATTACCACGAGCCCGTCCTCCCCAATTAAGGTGCCACCAACCTCCTGTGTAGTCAAGTTATTGTTACTCATTGTGTATTTATTATTACTTTTCTATTATTTCTCTATTTTCTTTCTCTCTGCATTGTTGGAAAGGGCCCGCAAGTAAGCATTTCAATGTTAGTCTACACCTGTCGTTTACGAATAATGTGAAGAATAACATTTTATTTTATTTGATAATGGCCAAAATAATGGCCTGCCCAACATCTTTATACATGACTCTAAGCATGATGGGATGTTAATTTCTTAATTAACCAGGAACCACACCTGTGTGGAAGCACCTGCTTTCAATATACTTTGTATCCCACATTTACTCAAGTGTTTCCATTATTTTGGCAGTTACCTGTAAGTAGCCATTTAAGTACTTCTTCAATGGGGAAACTCACTCCCATCACAGCTAAATAGTGAAACAGGGACATCTTGTGGACAATGAGGAGAAGAACAGAAAAGCCTGTTTGTAACTGAACTTACTCCGGAGGTGGATTTATGAAAATGACATCATTGAGGTATAAGCTAACAGGTGGCTTTTTCAAGCTCAATTCACAGCCAATTGAGCGGTGAAATGGTGTATTATATTAGGTGTGAGAGTGAATGGGCTGTCCACCCTCTCAGTAACTGGCAACTCAACTCCTGCAACCCATGTATCACTTCCTGTGGAATATAGTTGAACATAAAGCAAACAGAAACACAAAACCAGATGCTAAACAGAAAAAAGCATGCAAATGTATTTTTGTTCCTTTTGCACAAAGTAAAGATAGGACCTATCTTAACTTTGGGTTAGGGTTACACCCTGGATTTACTCTGGCCTATACATTCAGTAAACACATACAAGCACTCACATACATTGACACATCACACAATAAACAACACAACAGCATTCCCTCTTCTAGTCCCGTGTAGCTCAGTTGGTAGAGCATGGCGTTTGCAACGCCAGGGTTGTGGGTTCGATTTCCACAGGGGGCCAGTATGAAAAAAAATTTATGCACTCACTAACTGTAAGTCGCTCTGGATAAGAGCGTCTGCTAAATGACTAAAATGTTTAAAAAAATATCTCACCTTGGTATTGGCATCTTTCCTGGGATTTCCATTCAGCAGCTCTCCAGATTCTACTCTCCAGAGTCGTTTGCTCCACTCCTCCCTCTGGGGCAGCAGCATCATGGCCTCCGCTGCCAGGTACCTGTCTGGTGGGATCTGGCTCATGGGGGGTGGCAGAGCATTGGTGCTACCCAACGTGGCTGGTCCTGACCAGCTGTTAGTGGCCGGTGTTGCCTGGGACTCGGGCTCTCCACCTCGGCCCTTAGGCCACCTCTGCTTGACACTCATAGAGAACCAGCACTGACTGCTTCTGAAGGGGCCTCCTCCTGTTAGGTTCTGTTTCTGGTTCTTAGCCAGAGGGTACGGTGGTGGCGGGGGCTTGAACTGAAACTCCAGCCTGGGAGGAGGGCCACCGGATGGGCCGGTTAACAACGCTGGGCCCGGTAGAGATTCAGAAAGGGAATTTGTGCTGCCTGGATTAGGATGGACGTTTAGGCGGCCATTTTGATGAGCTAGTATTTGGGTGAGGTCTCCTTCGGCCTGGGGGTAATCCTCCCATGGACAGCTGGGGAGCTGGCCCCCAGGGTCGTTTCCGTGGGCGATGGGGAAATCCCTGTCCGCTCTCTCCTCAGGGGGGGAGGCATTTCCGATCCCGCTGTCTCCGTTGCTGCTGGCGCTGCCGTTCTTACCGGTGCTGCTGCCATTCTGTTGCATGTGGAGGTGGTGGGCTGAGTCTCTGTCCAGCCTGGTTCTAAGCCTCTCCACTGCCTCCCCCATGTCACAGTATAAGACAGATACAAACTGGAGGACGGAGGGGGGAGTAAGGGGGAACTCCAGGCAGCCCTGGGTGTCTGGGTCAGGGGTGCAGTCGAAGCCGAAGCGCCCTGTGATGCCCAGGTGGTCACTGTGGTGACACAGCTCGGGGTCGATGAAGAAGACGTGGCAGGAGGTACTCAGGGGACCGTTCTGGCCAACGTGGCCGCCAGAGATGTGCGCAGTGGTGACCAGACAAAAAAAGCGCCTGTCCTCGGAACACACCACGCCCAGGACAAGGTTCTCGGCAGGGAAGGCGGCAAGGACGGCTCCTGTGTCATCACAGAGGCGGACGCAGTCGAACATGATCTTCATCATCACCAGCGTGTGGGTCTCCTGCTCTGTGCCCATAAGTCTGATACACCTGCGGATCACCTGTAGGCAGTCGTCCTCTGAGCCATGTCTGGACAAAGCCAAGATCAGTTCAGTGGAGCCCAGGTAGCCCACCACCATGGCTGTGTTCAGAATACTCCAGTCTGGATTCACATCATCCTCCTGGTCGTTGAAAACAGAGTCTGCCACTCTGGCGGTTTCCTCCTCAGACAGGAAGACAGGCTGGGTTTTGTAGTTCGAAGGTTGGATCCAGTGGGACATGTCAGGATTCCGACACAGGCCTTGGTTTAGCTGGGGTGGCGTTTACGGAGTTAGATGACGAGTTGCCAGAGTGGTCCGAAACAGTGCGAAAAACACCCCCCTTCTGAAAAAGCACCTTTCCCTCTGTTCTAGAAATCCTTAACTCCTCGTCACTGGAGGATAGGTCCACCAAGGGCCCGCTCCCGACAAGCACCACCAACCGTAAGGGGCCTTTACAGGTGCCAATCAACTGCACCACGGCCTCATGGGATGCCTTTGCCACGTCAGTTCCGTTGACGCTCACTATACGATCCCCCTGCTTCAGTCCCACCTGGTCTGCAGGGCTCCCCTCCAATATACCACTCAAGAGGCACGGGCCTTGTCCCGATAAGGTAAACCCGTATCCTACACGTCCTCGAACAACCTCAACCCCTCTGACTTCATGAGGAGAGGTCAGATCCAGACGCCTCCGCGCCCCTTCGGCCTGTCCCGGCATCCTCATCCTGAATGTGGCCGTTTTTTCAAATGCAGAGCGTGGGAACCGAATGTCACACTGGAGTGATATCTTTTTAGTGCCAACACTGAAGTGTTGTTGTCATCCTGTGTAAACACTAAAAGTAGACAAGAGAGAGAGATTTAAGCAAAGTGAGATACAGATAATGATTAGGCATAGGCCTACTGTAACAATATTTTAACAAACTGCAACACTTATCATGTGATAACATTATGTTAAACAACATATTGTTACACAATGTATAAACAAAATAGTAATGGTGATACAATGTGTTGAGCACAAAAAGCCTAAAATGCTTTCCCCTGTATTTTAGAAACATTCACTTTAAAAAGATTGCATGATTTAATTCTGCTACAATAATGCTGCACACTATAACAATGTCCATATTTTTTGGACGAAAATATATGTATGGGTTGTTATAGTTTAACCAGACAAGCGTGGGCTGAAGAGACCATTTAGCCTCTTCCCAAGTGAGCGTGCAAATTAACCATCTACTCGCCATAGAGTAGACAGCGCCAGCTGGCCCCCTTCTCAAGAACCGTTCAATCAATGCACGAGCTTTCAAGCGAGACGTTTGTTAATGAAACATGCTCGAGCGCCTTGATTTGGTTTCGTTTGACATCGTTTCTTTACCTCTCTTGGTTAAATGTTTACAAAACAGCACAATTGTTAGGCATTGTCCAGAAAAATACAACAAAACAAAAAATATCCTTTCTAAAATATTTCCTAATTTTAAATGTAAAGTAGTCTTCCACACTCGACGTCTAGATACAATGTTGCCAGTGCTGAGGCTGAAATTACCGTTTCAAAGCTTCATGAAGTCAGTTTAAAGGTTGCATACGCCCAACAGTCCAAACTAGTTACAAATCCACACGTGCGTAGTTTCCGTAACATAATAATTTATGTTTTCAAAAATTACCGTCCCATATTCTGGTATTCCATATGCCACGGGTGACAAACTCCACAGGCCTCCATTCATTGTTGGGGATTACAAAGCGTCTTTCAGAGTAACCATGACATCGTTTCCAGAGCACGTGATTTCTTTCGCCAATCCCGGTGTCTGACAGACTCAGTATTCAAATATTTGCGGCGATCCTATTGGTTCTGATCATCTGAAATTGATAGCCTAAATAAAAACATTGTTACTGATGTTGTTTAGGCTACATTTCAAACACATATCATTACCAACATGCACTAACTCACACTTTACTAAACATGACAAATAACTATGCAGATGTAGCATAAATGGCTATTAAATGCAACCACCACCCCACAATTAATAATGGACGTATAACAAGCTTATTAACTTGACAGGATGAATTTCACAGCTCAAGAGTTGATAATTTGTTGCATCCTGCCATGCCAGACTTGTAAAAAAAAAACGGTGCATTATGGTCAAAATGCTGCAAGGTCGCAAGGGGAGTGAGTCACATGGTCCTATTACACATGTATAGTACACACCACAGTCAAATAGACACAGTGAAAGCTGAGAAGTTGTATGTATGTATAGGCCTACTAAAACCCTGGAGAAAAACCTTAGGCCTCATAAGATAGTGAAGTGATAGATAGTCATTTGAATCGAATAAGCAGGCTATTGTTATTTTTTTAGTAAATTTTTTCGTATATGTTTTAACCGTTTTTACAAATGTAAAATGCAAAACCTATAGGTGGCAAAGCTACATTCAACTCCCTTCTATTTAACCCATGGTTTCCCATGAGACAGCACTTCAAGACAATGCTGTTTAAAGTGAGTTAATGGAACTGTCCTCTCAAATTACCCACAACAATAACCATTTCCTAGATTTGTCTAATTAGGATGTCTTGCACTTTCAATCACTCAATGTGGTCCAAAATGATGGTTTTAACAACAAATATTGTATATCCCTTCCCTCTGAATGAGGACTTTTTCAGTCAAGCCACTAGCTGCCATAGCAGATACATCACATACAGATAGATGTAGGATCTACATTTTGAGCCAGTTTGCTACAGCAGGAAAATAATCCTGCAGCAACAGGAAATGTGAATTATGTGGATTATAATTCATGGACATTTTTTGAAGGGGTTTATATATTTTTCATAAGGGAAAATCAAGTCTGCAATTTCAAAGTAGAAATTCAGAAGCCTTTTTAAACTTACAATACAAGTTTAAAATGTCCTGCATCGCCGGAAAAGTTATCTTGCAACAGGGTGATCAAATTAAGATCCTACATCTGTAGTATGTTTTGTTACACATTATATGTTATCATTTCATATGATGTGTTATTGTATGAAGATCATATTACATTACATACACACAAAGTGTGAATACTGACTTTATGTAGGCTACATTATGGCAATATTTAGGATGAAAGGGAGACATGATTGTACCAGGAATAGTTGAAAGATAGACAAAAAATGACAACAGAACATATGTTTTTATTTCATTCATACATTTCAAACAAGTAGGCTATGCTAGTTGGAAGATGCAAACACCATAGCAGGACACACGTTAGAAAAGCATTGATACAACACCAAATACCCACGCCTTTTGTTATTAAGATATAGAATTTGTGGACATACATTGTCTTTTGTCGATGTGAATAAGTACAGTATTTTCCTAGCTTGTAGATATCTCTCAAATCTGTCAATGAATGGTGAAACTTGTCTTAAAGCAGCCTCAGCCATACACCTCTGAACCCTCACCCTTTCACTCTCTCACAGCAACCACTAGACGGCCATGGTAGAAAGGACGATACCGGCCTCTCAGTACTGATGAGCAAGTTGCTTTTTTCCTCTCTCTGCCGGTGAGCATCCAGGTCAGGGGTAATGTTAGGGTGAGATTGGCATCATTTACTCTCAATCAGTTGTTAAAAAGTGCCATACATCAGGTGGAGCATAGCCATATTATAGCATATAACACATAGCCATATAGCATATAACACATAGCCATATAGCATATAACACATAGTGACCACCACCAGGACGTAGTTTTGATACAGCTGCAACTTTTCGTAGCAGGTTAGGAGAACTTACGCAGCAGGTTAGGATAATTAATGTAGCAGGTTATTACCTCAACTAACCTGTGCACCCGCACATAGACTCTGTACTGGTACCCCCTGTATATAACCTCCCTGCTATTTTTTACTTATCTCTTTTTTACTTAACACTTATTTTTCTTAAAACTGCATTGTTGGTTAAGGGCTTGTAAGTAAGCATTTCACTGTAAGGTCTACTACACAAATACAATTTGATTTGATTTGATTTGAATTAGGTTAGGGAAAGGGTTAATGAAAATGCTCACCTAACCTGCTACGAAAAATCACTTGTATCGAAGCGCGTGTTTTTAGGGAGTCCTGACCACCACCACCCTCATTGACCCCTCACTCTGGACCCTTCATCCCTGGCCTGGCTCTTTGACCCCGGGCTGGGCAGCAGCGCCCCAGGCGGGCGTGGGGGCGGCGAGTGGCTGGATCATCTTCTCCAGCAGGTTCATCATGCGCTCCTGGAGCTGCAGGTTCTGCACCTGGAGGAAGTTCTGCTGGTGCATGACGCGGCGCACCTCGCGGCACGTCTCCTCCACCGCCCGGCTCACCTTCCGCTGCTCCTGCAGCATGGCCTCCATCACCTTCAGCTTCCGCCGCTTCAGAGACAGGTGCTGGTGCACCTTCTTCCTCTTGGCCGGCGCCGGGTGGGAACTGGACAGAAAGGGGTTTTGTTAGTCAAAGCAATGGTAATGATATAATTTATAGAGAGAGTTTATACAAGCGCTCAAGAGTTGTCATGGATATGTTTTTGATTCTGTATGTAGGGCCCTTTTCGCTCGAACTTGGTAAGTTGAGAACTACAAAATAATGTGAAATTAAAGTAAACTCGCTGTATGCTAATTACTCTCATACTAATTAACTATCATCACAATACACTGTGATGTTTATCACTTAGGGAGCCTAAGTGATAAATCGCTTCTTAGCGATTTCGACGAAGGCCTCGGGGCTCCAGTATCAAACGTAACATCACTAACATCCAGAAAATATGTATTTTCAACATCCGGAGATAAGCTTGGCTTCTTATATGGTGTTGAGTAAAGCTTAAACCATGTATTTAGATTGTAGGTAGGTAGTTGTAGTTAGGTATTGTAGGTAGTTTATTTAGGTAGTTATTGTAGGTTATTGTAGGTAATTATTGTAGGTAAGTATTGTATACGGCGGAGCCCGGCGAAGCACGAGGCTAGCTAACCCACTACCTGGACCAATAAAGCTAGCTAGCTAGCGGGTAGCTACTGGTAACTTTTAGCAACTGTGGATAGTTGTTTCCAATGTTATTTCACGCTTAAGAGTACCTGTAATTAAGCCAGCTAGCTACCTACCATTCAGCTGTTTTTCTAACCTCATTATCTGAGGCATTAACGTTAGATAGTTAGTGGCTACTGTACTTAATTACAGCTACTGATTGCAGAAGACAAATGTCTTCTTGTCTGCCACCCAGACAGCTGGCGTCGGGTAAGTTTGGCTTTATACATAGCTTGGGCTTTGTCGAGTAAGGCTTAAACTATGTATTTAGATTGTAGTTAGGTATTGTAGGTAGGCATCGTGGGCTGTTGTGGGTAGTTATTGTAGGTTAGCATTGTATTCGGCGGTGCCGGGTGTAGCACGAAGCTAGCTAGCTAGCTAACTCACCTCCTGGACTAGCTGGCGAGTAGCTATTAGCAACGGTAGCAACTAGATACAATATCCTTTTAGCCAGCTACATTTGCTCGCAGCGCCACCGTTTTTCAAACAAAGTCAACACAGCAGCCATTGCTAGCTAGCCAACACGACCAGCTAGCTGCACTGTAGCAGCTAAATACAATATATTTGTGCTAGCTAGCCAACGTTTAATTATTGCTGCGTTATGAAAGGAACTAGACACGGACACAAATTATCTGTTTAGTGTGTTAACACACTATTGGTAGTTTGTTGTAACCAAGTATTGGTGCTAAACTTTGTGTTATTGGATGCTAGCATGCTAGTTAGCTATGGCGTCATAGTTAGCTAGCTGAATAAAGTAAGTTGAGTCTATTCCTTGAAACATTGAACCGCTGTAGTTCACAACAATTCTAATTTCTAAAGTGGAAGTTGGGAGAGTATTTATTCGGGTGGTTCAGTGAAACAATTATAGTTTCTGAGGTGGAAGTTGGGTGAATTATATTTGGGAGTTTTGGTGAGGGAGGCCCTACTCTCTCCTTTCCCAGATGTTTAGTTCATTTCATTCCGATCTCCTCTGCATTATTGTAGCCATTTGCTACAGCCTGTCAACTATGCCTCTGCCTATCCCTGTTCTCTCCTCTCCGCACAGGCTACACAAACGCCTCACACCGCGTGGCTGCTGCCTCTCTAACCTGGTGGTCCCTGCACGCACCCCACACCTGGAGTTCCAGGTCTCAGGCAGCCTCTGGAACTGCCGTTCTGCTGCCAACAAGGCTGACTTCATCCCAGCCTATGCTACCCTCCAGTCCCTCGACTTCCTGGCGCTGACGGAAACATGGATTACCACTGAAAACACTGCTACTCCTACTGCTCTCTCCTCGTCTGACCGTGTGTTCTCGCATACCCCGAGAGCATCTGGTCAGAGGGGTGGTGGCACAGGAATCCTCATCTCTCCCAAGTGGACATTCTCAATTTTTCCCCTAACCCATCTGTCTATCTCCTCATTTGAATTCCATGCTGTCACAGTCACTAGCCCATTTAAGCTTAATATCCTTGTCATCTATCGCCCTCCAGGTTCCCTTGGAGAGTTCATCAATGAGCTTGACGCCTTGATAAGTTCCTTTCCTGAGGATGGCTCACCCCTCACAGTTTTGGGGGATTTCAACCTCCCTACGTCTACATTTGACTCATTTCTCTCTGCCTCCTTCTTTCCACTCCTCTCCTCTTTTGACCTCACCCTCTCACCGTCCCCCCCTACTCACAAGGCAGGCAATACGCTTGACCTCATCTTTACTAGATGCTGCTCTTCTACTAATCTCACTGCAACTCCCCTCCATGTCTCCGACCACTACTTTGTATCCTTTTCTCTCTCGCTCTCCTCCAACACTACTCACTCTGCCCCTACACAGATGGTAATGCGCCGCCGCAACCTTCGCTCTCTCTCTCCCACTACTCTCTCGTCTTCCATCCTATCATCTCTTCCCTCTGCTCAATCCTTCTCCCTCCAATCTCCTGATTCTGCCTCCTCAACCCTCCTCTCCTCCCTTTCTGCATCCTTTGACTCTCTGTGTCCCCTATCCTCCCGGCCGGCTCGGTCCTCCCCTCCAGCTTCGTGGCTTGATGACTCATTGCGAGCTCACAGAACAGAGCTCCGGGCAGCGGAGCGGAAATGGAAGAAAACTAAACTCCCTGCCGACCTGGCATCTTTTCACTCCCTCCTCTCTACATTTTCTTCATCTGTTTCTGCTGCTAAGACCACTTTCTACCACTCTAAATTCCACGCATCTGCCTCTAACCCTAGGAAGCTCTTTGCCACATTCTCCTCCCTGCTGAATCCCCCCCCCCCCCCCCCCCCCCCTCTCTCTCTGTGGATGACTTCGTCAACCACTTTGAAAAGAAGGTTGACGACATCCGATCCTCGTTTGTTAAGTCTAATGACACTGCTGGTCCTGCTCACACTGCCCTACCCTATGCTTCTTTCTCCCCTCTCTCTCCAGATAAAATCTTGCGACTTGTGACTGCAGGCCGCCCAACAACCTGCCCGCTTGACCCCATCCCCTCCTCTCTTCTCCAGACCATCTCCGGTGACCTTCTCCCCTACCTCACCTCGCTGATCAACTCATCCTTGACCGCTGGCTATGTCCCTTCCGTCTTCAAGAGAGCGAGAGTTGCACCCCTTCTCAAAAAACCAACACTCGATCCCACTGATGTCAACAACTACAGACCAGTATCCCTTCTTTCTTTTCTTTCCAAAACTATTGAGCGTGCCGTCTTTAGCCAACTCTCTTGCTATCTCTCTCAGAATGACCTTCTTGATCCAAACCAGTCAGGTTTCAGGACTGGTCATTCAACTGAGACTGCTCTTCTCTGTGCCACGGAGGCTCTCCGCACTGCTAAAGCTAACTCTCTCTCCTCTGCTCTTGTCCTTCTAGACCTGTCTGCTGCCTTTGATACTGTGAACCATCAGATCCTCCTCTCCACCCTCTCCGAGCTGGGCATCTCCGGCGCGGCTCACTCCTGGATTGCGTCCTACCTGACCGGTCGCTCCTACCAAGTGGCATGGCGAGAAGCTGTCTCCGCACCACGTGCTCTCACCACTGGTGTCCCCCAGGGCTCAGTTCTAGGCCCTCTCCTATTCTCCCTATACACCAAGTCACTTGGCTCTGTCATATCCTCACATGGCCTCTCCTATCATTGCTACGCTGACGATACACAACTAATCTTCTCCTTTCCCCCTTCTGATAACCAGGTGGCGAATCGCATCTCTGCATGTCTGGCAGACATATCAGTATGGATGACGGATCACCACCTCAAGCTGAACCTTGGCAAGACGGAGCTGCTCTTCCTCCCGGGGAAGGACTGCCCGTTCCATGATCTCGCCATCACGGTTGACAACTCCGTTGTGTCCTCCTCCCAGAGTGCGAAGAGCCTTGGCGTGACCCTGGACAACACCCTGTCGTTCTCCGCTAACATCAAGGCGGTGACCCGATCCTGCAGGTTCATGCTCTACAACATTCGGAGAGTACGACCCTGCCTTACACAGGAAGCGGCACAGGTCCTAATCCAGGCACTTGTCATCTCCCGTCTGGATTACTGCAACTCGCTGTTGGCTGGGCTCCCTGCCTGTGCCATTAAACCCCTACAACTCATCCAGAATGCCGCAGCCCGTCTGGTGTTCAACCTTCCCAAGTTCTCTCACGTCACCCCGCTCCTCCGCACACTCCACTGGCTTCCAGTTGAAGCTCGCATCTGTTACAAGACCATGGTGCTTGCCTATGGAGCTGTGAGGGGATCGGCACCTCTGTACCTTCAGGCTCTGATCAGTCCCTACACCCAAACGAGGGCATTGCGTTCATCCACCTCTGGCCTGCTGGCTCCCCTTCCTCTGCGGAAGTATAGTTCCCGCTCAGCCCAGTCAAAACTGTTCGCTGCTCTGGCACCCCAATGGTGGAACAAGCTCCCTCACGATGCCAGGACAGCGGAGTCACTCACCACCTTCCGGAGACATTTGAAACCCCACCTCTTTAAGGAATACCTGGGATAGGATAAAATAATCCTTTTACCCCCCCCCCCCCCCCCCCCCCCCCCCCCCTTAAAATAAAAAAATAAAAAAAACATATTGTAAAGTGGTTATCCCACTGGCTATAGAGTGAATGCACCAATTTGTAAGTCGCTCTGGATAAGAGCGTCTGCTAAATGACGTAAATGTAATGTAAATGTTGTGGAGACTCTTTATCAGGCCGTACTAATGACAATAGACGACCCCTCCTGGCAAGGGTGGACAGTTTAGCTGAATAGCTCAGCTTGATAACCCCCCCCCCCTCTCTCTCTCTCTCTCTCTCTCTCTCTCTCTCTCTCTCTCTCAGGAGGTCTCCCTCATCTCTCTCTCTCTCTCTCTCTCTCTCTCTCTCTCTCTCTCTCTCTCTCTCTCTCTCTCTCTCTCCTCATTTGAAGCCCAATATGTAAACATGGCCTTACTCAGGACAGGGAAGCCCGGAGTGCAGACTGCCAGAGCTCTCCCATCCATCCAGGTCCTCCCTCATCTCCATTTCGTCCGAGGAGCCTGTGTACTCCGGAAGGAAGCCCATGGGGAGGCCCTCTGCATGGGACATCGAGGCCTCCGTGGAGGTGGAGGGGCCAGGAGACTGGAGCTCAAATGGGTTCATAGTCTCATTATCATCCGTCTTGGTGAGGAGCTTCTCTATTGCTTTGTAGTACGGCCAGTCGGGTGTCCCACCGCTCCCATTGGTTGTGCATTTCATTTTCCTGTCAAAGAAGGAGTTAAGGAGTTAAGGATGGTATATATTGGTTTGGGTCAAGACATAAGAAGTCTGGGTTTCTAGGTATCATAGCTGCCCTTACTGAGTTCTAGGTATGCAGGATGCTCTAGGTATGCAGGATGCTCTGACACCTGCATACCTAAGTATCCTACTTCAGTTGGCCTACACTCTCTTTCTGGATATTAAAGTGCATTCATACAATACAAGTAGATACCTTTTTCAATCCAAACAAACAAAAAATGTATTTCTTACACTTGCCTGTACTGGAAAGACATGTTGGTGATTTTCATCTTGATCTCCTCCCGGTGGCGTTGTTCTCCCGTGAGCTCGAAGAACCTCTGGGCCATCTTCTCGTAGATCTTGGCGTTCCTCTTACATTTCTTCAGCTCGGCGACGTTCTGTTCCCATACATACAGGAGCCCCTTCATCTCGGCATCGGTCCAGTTTCGGGCCCTTCTGTGCTTCTCGCTGTGGCCCGGAATGAGGTAACTAAAACTGTCCTCGGCAGCCATTTTGAAAGCCCTCTCAAAAGCACTCTCTTCCTGTTTCGGTTTTGTAAACAAAAATAGGCCCCAAAAACGGTTTAGTTTGAAAGCCCTTCTCTGCTGTCTAGCATTATTTCCTATGCTGTCAGTGGAATGTGGTTGCAAACAGCCACACACTGCTCTGCCTGTGCTGTGCCCTTCCCCCGAGCTTAGCTGAAAGAGGACTCAAAATGGGGCCTAGGGCAGGAGAGGGATCCGGTTAAAAGCTTTTAAATGGAGGAAATCGTCACTGTGATGTCAAGTTGCCCTAGCAACTAGGAGGAGGCCCCTCTTTCTCCCTCCCTCCCCCTCTCTTAACCACTCCCTCTCTCTCACTTCCTCTCTCTCTCTCTCTTGCTCCAATTCCACAACAAAAAGCTTTTAGCTGAAAGGCAATGAGATATACCAGAGATTACAGGAAAAACAGATTTGAAATATGAGCCTCTGGGGAGGGAGGGAGTAAAGCAAGAGAGCAGGTGTAGTTTGTTTCCTTGGCAACAGGCCTTTGGACTGGGCAGTCTGCCAAGATGTTCCTGCATTTAAATGCTTTTAATAACAGACAGGGGCTGGCTTTTTCCAGCCAAAGTGGTAAAAACAGGAAGATATTAAGGAAAAGACACCTGCATAAAAAAAAATCTAAAGCAACATACTTTGGCAGTGTGTGGATATTATTCTCAATGCACAATTAAATTATATGCAAATGATATGAAAGTGCAGGGGAAATCATTTTATTGAAATGGGTATGTACTGGGTAGTTGTAGACTACATTCAGGGGGGGGGAGTCAGTGTATTCTAATCATCCAAGACAATGGGAGTCCTATTGGTAGGTCAGCTTATGCGTGGTCACTTGAACACCCTCCCCCACTCCTCACCACAATCTGGACCTTGGCCTGCAAGGGTGAGCTCAGCATGTTATCTCTCTCTCAAATCAATTCAAAGGGCTTTATTGGCATGGGAAACATAGGTTTAGATTTCCAAAGCAAGTTAAATAGATAATTAACAAAAGTGAAATAAACATTTAGAAATAAACAGTTAACATTACACTCACAAAAGTTTTTAAAGAATAGAGACATTTTAAACGTTATAGTCCCCTGTAGCTCAGTTGGTAGAGCATGGCGCTTGCAACGCCAGGGTTGTGTGTTCGTTTCCCACGGGGGGCCAGTATGAAAATGTATGCACTCACTAACTGTAAATCGCTCTGGATAAGAGCGTCTACTAAATGACAAATTATTTTTTTTACAAATAAGTAGTAATTATAGTATGGCTATGTACAGTGTTGTAACAATGTGCAAATGGTTAAAGAACAAAGGGGCAAATAAATAAACATAAATATAGTTTGTATTTACAATGGTGTTTGTGCTTCACTGGTTGCCCTTTTCTTGTGGTAACAGTTCACAAATCTTGCTGCTGTGATGGCACACTTTTGTATTTCACCTAATAGATATGGGAGTTTATCAAAATTTGATTTGTTTTCGAATTCTTTGTAGGTCTGTGTAATCTGAGGAAAGTGTGTGTCTCTAATATGGTCATATATTTGAAAGGTGGTTAGGAAGTGCAACTCAGTTTCCACCTCATTTTGTGGCAGTGTGCACATAGCCCGTCTTCTCTCGAGAGCCAGGTCCGCCTATGGCGGCCTTTCTCAATAGCAAGGCTATGCTCACTGAGTCTGTACATAGTCAAAGTTTTCCTTAATTTGGGGTCAGTCACAGTATTCAGGTATTCTGCCACTGTGTACTCTCTGTTTAGGGCCAAATAGCATTCCAGTTTGCTCTGTTTTTTGGTTAATTCTTTCCAATGTGTCATGTAATTATCTTTTAGTTTTCTAATGATTTGGTTGGGTCTAATTTTGTTGCTGTCCTGGGGCTCTGTGGGGTCTGTTTGTGTTTGTGAACAGAGCCCCTGGACCAGCTTGCTTAGGGGACTCTTCTCCAGGTTCATCACTCTGTAGGTGATGGCTTTGTTATGGAAGGTTTGGGAATCGCATCCTTTTAGGCGATTGTAGAATTTCTGGATTTTGATCATTATTGGGTATCATCCTAATTCTGCTCTGCCTGCATTATTTGGTGTTTTACGTTAGATACAGAGGATGTTTTTGCAGAATTCTGCATGCAGTCTCAATTTGGTGTTTGTCCCATTTTGTGAATTATTGGTTGGTGAGCAGATCCCAGACATCAAAGTTATATAACTGATTCAAGTATTTTTTGCCAGATGCTAATTAGGATGTTGAATTCTCTCTCTCTCTCTTTCTCGCTCTCAATTAAATTAATTTCAAAGTGGCTTTATTGGCATGAGAAACATATGTTTACATTGCCAAAGCAAGTGAAATAAACAATAAACAAAAGTGAGAATAAATTTAACATCAACAAAAACCGATTAGAAATTAACAGTAAACATTGCACTCAAAAAGGTTGAAAAAATATAGACATATCAAATGTTATATTATCAGTGTTTTAGCAATGTGCAAATAGTTGTAGTACGAATAGTGGGGGAAGATACAGTAAATAAACAGATACATATTGGTGGTATTTACAATGTCTCTCCCTCCCTCCCTTTCTCTCTCTCTCTTTCTCTCAGGTTCTCTCTCTAGCGGATTTAACTTCTTTATTAGAACAGACCTAATGTTGGAAACAAACATCATTATGTGGTCATCCAGAGTCACTTTTATTTCCCAAGCTATAGCACACAATATTTTACATACAGGAGGTTTTTGGTCTGAGTTTGGTCTGCTTTGTGTTTTCATTTTTGCCATGGAACAAATATCGCAATACTGGTATCGTCCCGGGCCTACAAAACAGAGTGCACTGATGGATACGAGCCATTATACTGTAGTCAATGTTAGGTTTCAATGCTAGTTTACATAAAACACTCTGTAGACAACATGAACATAATAGTGTCTGTTTGGATGATAGCCTACTGAGATCTCCAACATAGAGAACTGAATTCTTATCATTGTCTCATCTTGGAGTTCGCTTTTAAAGAGGGCTACATGTGAAAACACTCCCAAACAATCCCTACATTTCCAAGAAGGGGCCTCATTGAAGTCGGAAGAGATTATAATGCCACTAATAGCCGGATCCATCTGTGACTTACCATCACTTTGTCTTTGTTAGTGACACTTTTCTGTCACTCTGTCTTAACACAGTTTTGCCCTCATTACACCTCGTGTTCCATCTGCTCCATAGAAACTGACAGACGTTCAATCATGCCATAACACTGGCAGCTTCTCACAATCCATCACTGCTGTCACTTACCTATAGAAAACCTCCATTATTGAAATGGACAGAGAACTAGAGGCTTATGTTAAGTCACTTACCAGACACCTTCATCCAAAGCAACTTACAGTAAATTGAGTGCATACATTTTTTTGTATGTGTTCCATGTGGGAGTTGAACCCATGATCGTTGCTAAGCACAAGCATTTCGCTACACCCGCTATAACATCTGCTAAACACGTGTATGTGACAAATACAATTTGATTTGATTTGATTTAAGCCACAAAGGACCACAAAACATGACATATTGATGTCTGTCCTGAAGTGGCAAAAGATGGTAGAAGAACAAACCTTGCTTCAAATGTATTTCTAGATCTATACAGAACAAAAATATAAATGCAACATGTAAAGTGTTGGTCCCATGTTTCATGAGCTGACATAAAAGATCCCAGAAATGTTCTATATGCACAAAAAGCTTATTTATCTCAAATGTTGTGCACAAATTTGTTTACATCCCTGTTAGTGAGCATTTCTCCTTTGCCAAGATAATCCATCCACCTGACAGGTGTGGCATATCAAGAAGCTGATTAAACAGTATGATCATCACACAGGTGCACCTTGTGCTGTGGACAATAAAAGGCCACTCTAAAATGTGCAGTTTTGTCACACAACACAATGCCACAGATATCTCAAGTTTTGAGGAAGCGTGCAATTGGCATGCCGACTGCAGGAATGTCCACCAGAGCTGTTGCCAGAGAATTGAATGTTCATTTCTCTCCAACGTTGTTGTAGAGAATTTGGCAGTATGTCCAACCGGCCTCACAACCGCAGACAACGTGTAACCACGCCAGCCCAGGACCTCCACATCTGGCTTCTTCACCTGCGGGATCGTCTGAGACCAGCCACCCGGACAGCTGATGAAACTGAGGATAAAGCCCTTTTGTGGGTAAAAGGCTCCCCAGTGGGTGGGCCTGGCGCCCAAGTGGGTGGGCCTATGCCCTCCCATGCCCATCCATGGCTGCGCCCCTGCCCAGTCCTGTGAAATGTATAGATTAGGGCCTAATGAATTTATTTCAATTGACTGATTATATGAACTGTAACTCAGTCAAATTGTTGAAATTGTAAGGAGATGAGTCAAGTCAAATTGTTGCATGTTGCGTTTTTATTTTTGTTCAATATATATAATTACATAATTTGTAAAATTTTAAACTTGGATGTTTCAAGAGACCCCTCTTGGGGTTGTAAGGATTATGCTTCTAGTAGCTTGGTGGTGCCAGGGCTTTGTTCTCACTTGATTCGTCAAATTAACCCTGTACAATAATCAAAACGTGTTGTTATGTCATATTGGGAAAAAAGTCTGAAAAATTGAACTCCAAGACTTCCAACAATGGCAAACCTCATAGAATCCTTATGAATTTGGAGCATATTCCAACCATAGCGATTTCACAGACACAGACTATGTTAATCTACTTATACCTCTTGACCGTCTGCATGTCTGCAAATGTATTCAAGCAGCTCGAGCCTGTCAAATAGATCAAAACCTAATCAGAAATTGGACTTAATTGGCCAGAAATTGCACTTTGTGGCACAAAAGCCCTCTAATAACCGCACAGTGATATATAGCAACTGTCTGGTAGTCTACAGTGACTGCCATATGCCAGTAGGTGTGTTGGCTACTGTGCTACACATTTGCCTAGCAACTAAAAGAAGAGCAGAAATTCAACAGTCATTGTTTAATCTAATTGGCTACTCATGCTACTGTATATGGTTTGTCTCATTCCTTAAAGTGGACATAATCCAGACAACTAATCCAGAGCACAGACTAATCTAGAGATGAACTGTCCCTCATGGTTTCGCATGGTTAGACTGATGTAATAGACTGTGACTAATCTGGAGAAGAACCTTCGAACACTAATAGATTTACTTTATTCTTTGTAAAAAAATTAAGAAAAATAAAAGAGAGAAAAAAATGGGGGGAATGAAGAATTACTGTATTCTGAAAGGCATTTGCCATCAGGCAAGTCAGGAGTATTTTTTGGTTGCCTGAAAATGGTCACTTGCCCAAACATGTTTACACGCAGAAATACCATAAATTGGCCATCTTTCACTTTAACAATGGCGAGGAACCAGAGAGATCAGGTTAAGGCTACTGGAATTCTTGCAGTTTGGTTGTTTCAGTAAAATAATTGCCCGCCTTGACCAACTGCTTAGTTTACTTGCCCCGGGCAATAGGGAAACCCTTAATGTCACACACCCACACATGAAAAGATACCAACACCGTTATCATAATAGTCATGTTCATTTAATAGTCCCACTGTTACTGTTTTTAATTTTTTTTATACATGTTACTACTTTCTCTGCCATCATAGATGTCTCCACGTCATTCATTCTCGCCATTACAACTTTTACAGAGGTTTTATGAACAGTTTTTTAAAAACAAAGTGTTAATGAGCTTTCAACCATTGTTTTATTCCCATTGACGGACATGTGCCTAGGAAAGAAAATGATATGTATTAAACTGAGCATTAAAAGAACTGACATAAAACGTGACTGACTACATAAAGTCCTACATTTCCCAATCCAGCTGCAGGAGTCATTGGAGGGGCTACAAGGTCACATGACGTACTAAATGCAGTACCCCTACTCACAAAGTAGAATGGGTATGTAGGCTGTGATGTGATGGGTATGTAGGCTTCATGTAGTCTCACAGCTTTAAATGTGGCTAAACAATACCTCTAAGTGAAAAAATAGTGGTTTTGAATTGTTTGAACTTAATTTGATACAAACGATTAAAAAATAGAGAGCACATTAAATAAAGGAGGTATTAAGTGTACAGTTATGTTATACTCTTACCTTTAAAAATAGTTTTATGTAAAGTTGTGTACATTAACACATACATCCAGTGCATACAGAAAGTATATAAAGTATAAATGTTGGCCTAACATTGTATGTTAACACATACTGATAAATATTTTCAATAGTACCGCTTTATAAGCAGGTCCGTCATGGACCTAACACAAACCGACTGGACAGTTTGACCACAGGTTAGATTGACAACAGAGCAAATCTTTCAAATTGTACCTCGTACCAATAGAAGGTTCACTTTCCTCAGAGCTGAATGAGGCTGGTGTCCAAAACAAAGACAATACAATGAAACCCAAAGTAGTTTTAACTGTTAGTTTTGACCTTAAGTTATATCTAACTTTTCCATGTTTCCTTTTGACTGAAGGAAAAAAAGAGAGTATGCCCTGTGCAGTGCAAATCTGACCTCTGGTGGCAGGTCCAATCATAGCTTTATATCTGACTTCATTCCTTCTGGGGTGCATCTCAATAGTCCAAAGTGGCCTTTTTTCCATTCCTGTTCCTTCATCTGCATTGATGTGAAAGAATAGGAGAGGAAGCTACACAAGACTATTGAGATGCACCCATGGTCTGAGGAGGACTCTTATTTTTTACATTTAGGCTCACCCACCCCATCGAGAGGGTTCCCCAATCATTTATACTGATTGGCAACGGATGAGTCTAAAATCGATGTCCAGTAAAAACGTTTAAACACACTCATTGTGGCTCATAATATCCATGAGCCCTCCTGAGAAGACTCAAGCTTGACTCATCTCCTTACAATGCCACATATAGAAAATAATGCTCTGGCAATCAAATAGACAACATACAATGTTAAAAATTAAGAACAAAATGGAATGTAAAAATTATACTCAACTCAACTGAGCCAATATATATCAACTATTTAAAATGTACAACAATGCATTTTCAAAATGGTACAGCAATTAATAAAATACCGACAAGAACCTAGAGAGGAAAAGGGAATGTATTTTCAATAAGTACCACTAGAGGGCAGTAAACACTCATGCTCACACATATCCAGTCATAAACTTGAGATATTTTGAAAGTTCTCTGTAAAGTTTTCTGCACCCTCAGTGGGGTGGAAACAACCGGATGCATCCAATTTTCATAGGAAATGGAAATAGAGCCGGACTTCTGCTTTTGGACGTTAACAAGGCGACATCACAGAGCTAACTGTCTTTGGTTCAACAGTGCAGATTCAGAAGAGAAAATCCCCCAGCAGTTTTTTATTTTCTTGTCAGGACCAGAAAGAAAGAAACGCCGCTCAGATGATTATTTTACGCCTGTTATGTTAGGTTACATTTTCTGTAACGAGAGATGTATTACTATGCTGCCAATGGTCTAATACTTTAAGCCTTTTATTCTCTCTACCCTCTTACATTCAATACCCTATTTAGCATATTCCCTTTAATACCCATTTTAGCGCTCATCCTACCACTTACAGATGCTCTGGTAAACCTGGTACACCATTGAATTAAAATGGACCAATTAAGATTCAGTACATTCTTGTCGAACTCTCAGGGTATAAACGACAGCTTCTGTCCAACACTGTGGCCTCAAACCTCTCACTGAATTACATTTTGTGACAGCCCCATTACTGTAGCAGAAAAATAAACAAACAAAAACATTCCATCATACAACTGACCCATGCAGCGGTGCCGACCCACAGCCCACCTGTTCAGAGGGTTTCTAATGTCGTATCTCAGTTAGTGTCCCTAGAAACTAGAGCCAGACAGTCTATTTGTCTGTTTCTCTATTTGTTTAATGTCCCGTTGCTTATTTTTCTTGGCTCATCTGTTCATCGGTTCATTCATTTTTTCTCGTATGCTGTCTTTCAGGCTGTCTGTTTCTGTGGGTGTCACAATTGTACCATCTGTGTTAATTTCTGTACTTCTCTTTTTTAAAACATATTCATATGTCTATAACTCTCCCTCTCCATCCCTTTGTCTCTCTGACTCTGTGTGTTCATTGTTTTAACTCTGGCCTCCAGAGTCAGACAAGTCTCTGTTGCTGTTTCCCTGTCGGCCCGTCTTTAGCTCAGTCTCTGGGTAGGCACTCCTCCTCGGTGATCCCCTGGGCCTTAAGCTCCTCCAGAACGTTGTCCAGGTGGCCGGGGTCGGGGTAGCCGTGGCCCGTCAGGTTGGAGCCGAACTCCGTCTTGTGGTGCACCTCGTTCCAGATGACTGTGTCCGACTCGCCCGTGGTGCTGGATGTGCCCACTGAGAAGATGAGCCGGCGGTCCCACGCCACCAGCAGCAGCCTCAGTACCTGGGGGGGAGAGGGATGGGGAGAAAGGGGGTAGAAAGAGACGGAGAGAGAGAGAGCAAGAGAGAGAGGGAGGAAGTTAGTTAGCCACATAGTCCAGTCATTTCATTAACAGCAAACCGGTACAACTGAGTAAACTAGTAAACAAGAAGTTAAACAGTAAACAGGAAGTAGGCTGGTGTTTACCTTGCGTCCCTTCTCGCTGTCAGGGAGGTAGCAGTGTCGGGGGAATCCCCGGGCGGTGAAGGGCTTGCCTGAGTTCGGGTGCTCAGGGCCCTGGGAAAGGTGAAAGGTCACTATTAGAATGTAAACAAGTGACATGTCCAGTCGTTCTTCCTAAGTACTATGGAGTGTATTGAAAATGATGCTCAACATCATGATTTACAGAACATCAGATGTGGATAAGAGTAAGGCTGTTACCTGGATGCCTGGTGGGATGTTGTAGATGATGCGGATGGTCTTGCAGTCGGGGTGGCCGGGCAGCGAATGGGGGATAACGTGGTACTCCATCTTGCCAGGCGGCTGGTTGCCCGTCTTCACGCCGTAGATGGTCTTGCAGGTGGGGCACTGAAGGCTGCCGTCCTTGTTGCCGTTGTTGTACATGGCCACCAGACACTGTAGGTGGTACTGGTGCCCACACTGGGCCAGGCGACCCACCGACTCTGCCCGCTGGATGCCCCCAACACCGGGGCCTTTGTAGCCAGAGGGCCCAGGCAGGGCCTCCATGCAGATAGTGCAATCCTCCTCTGGGGGGCTGCGGACCTTCTGAAGGTACCTCTTCACTACTTCCTCAGGGGTCTTGCCTGAGAGAAAGGGAGGAATGGACGAGAGAGAGATTTTCACAAATGTCCTATGCCGGTGTGTGTGTGTGTGTGTGTGTGTGTGTGGGTGCTACACCCACCTTTGCGGGCCTGCTTCTTGGTGGTCTTGCGGCAGCAGTGGCCGAGGCCGGGGACGGGCTTGATGTCACTCTTGCTGACGGGCGGGGGGTGGAGCACCAGCTTGGGGGGGCGGGTCAGACAGACAGGAAGTCCTGCGGCGCTCATCAGGATCCCTGTAATACCTAGAGACAACCAGCAGAGGGAGCAGTGAGACCACTTCTCCATCACTGTCTATTGACACTGTCTAGACACTGTCTCATCCATCAGAAGCTACTCTCATTGACCATATGTGGGTCACATTAATTAACAAATGAAGCCTGATTCTCTGTAACACTGTCTATCGTTGTTAGATAAAGTGACCGTTGATTGACTAAAATAGGCCTAGCAACTAAGAAGAGTGAAAATGAATTTAGACACTGGCATTTCCTTAATAGCGCAACTAGGAAACTAGGCTTGTTGTTTATATTATTTTGATAGTGACTTAATGGCTGTTCCTACCTGCCAATGCAGGGTGGACAGGGCTGGATCCATTGAGGTTCTTCACAGGAACCGTTGGGACTCTGAAACACAAAACACACACTAGGGTTAAACACCACTTCATAACACACACCTAGCAGACACAAACACACACCACACACAATCACACACATCTGGATGGGGATTAGGCACACTAATTGCTGTGTCATAGGTAAACTGCAGGTGGGAAACGCACAGGTGACCATAGCGTCTGCTGTTTGCTGTGTCAAGGGTCGCGTCTTGTTAGCAAGTCAAAAGCTTTTACCAAGTCACGTTTTAGACACAAAGGCTAAGTGGCACACGGACCAGAATAGCACCATGTTGACATGTCACTGCGCCAACCAGTACTCCCTTAGTTGTCTGAGCCATGACTGAAAACAACAACCCTAACCTGAGCCAGCACTGCTTTATTGTTCAGCGCATAGAAGGTTGTGAAACTTCTGAATATTTATCAACAGGAATTAGAACCCTTTGCAGAGTTGGCCAGCTGGTCAATTTCATTTTAATTCCAATAATCTCAGAAATTATATATCACTGCTATAGAAAAATTCCATGCCCAATATAACCGACAGGAATTGAAACAGAATTCAGGATTGAAATTGCCCATCATTCCCTACGGTCTTCTCTTTACTACAGTTACTCACATCCAACATAGAGCCACTGTCAGACAACTGAAAGACTGCTGTGCTGTATCATTCTCATGATGAGACTCCACATTATTCGCAATATGATCCAATCAGAAACCATACTCACTTTGTGTTGAATTTGATTATGGTCATCTGGACTTTGATTGTGGAGTTTGTTTCCCAGCTGAATCTGCAAAACCCTTCAGCCACAAATAAATGTTTTATCCCAAAGACGCTTTACGCTTTTCGCTTCTCCAAACTTGAATCTTTCTCAATTCTTCCTTCTCCTTTCCATATCTCAAGAATAAATCCTTGTTAAGTATGTATATCCTCAGATACGCCGTATCTCCCTGCTCCAGTCTCCCTCTCCTCTCTAGATCAGTCAGTAGGGTGTATGAGTGTCTCGTCTTCTTCCTCTGGCTCTTTATAGGGATCATTTCCATCTGTTGATGTCACCACACCGAGATTACCTGTCAATTAGCACGTCACCGTGCAAGGCTGCCACACGGCAGACAGACACCAGCGCATACTGGAGTAACGACATTAGCTGGGGTCACCCCCCTCTAACCCTTTAGGCAATGCTGTGGGGTTTCACTGAAGGATAGTCCTTGACATAAAGCAGGGGCTGGGATCGGTCTTGGGTGATTAAGTCCGATCATGGTTCATCCACATTTGCAAATTATTTTAAATAGATACTGAAACATACTGTTAGCCCATCAACTTGGATATTTCTTAGCAAGTTTCGTTATGAAGAAAATCACTGACCAATTGGATATTTTGAGTAACGTTACTCATCACAAACCCAAAATACCATTATTTTGTAACTTATTTGTAAGCCCTTACCCTTACGAATCTAGGTAGGTTCAATTCATTGGTTTCATTATCAGTGTAACAGCGCAAACATACAACTAATTTTAAAACTTGAAGTTGCATACAGATACAGTGTACATGTCCATTCAATACTTCTAATCATCTATACAATAGTTTAATCATTGGCACTGTAGGGGGACATTCAATACTGCTATTCCTTCAACAGTTGTGACGTCAATCAACTCATACAATTTCATGTTAGACCATAGGCTGTTAGGGGACTATTCAAATAGTCTGTCAACCTCTCACTCATTGCACCGTTCCCAAAACTCATCAATCTTTCAATTGTAGGACTAGCGCTTTAGTTACACCAAATAACACAAGAAAAAAGTTCCATTATTGGGTCCACCACCACCATGTCTTCGTATGCTAAAAGAGTGACTGTCTGGGTTTTCTAGCCCAATGTTCTCTCACACATATTAAAATAGTGACATGTTGACGAATGTATGAATGAAACAGCACATTGTGAACTGGAACAGTAGATATAAATACATTGGGGTACATACTCGTTCCAGGGAGCGACCCTGCAAGGTGTGAGATACGGAAGGGTGGAGAAAGGGTAGAGGAGAGAGGAAAATAGTGGAGGAGGGAGGGAGAGTGAAAAAGGTGGGGAGGAGTTGGGACTTGGGAGTTAACTATGTTGTTTAGTCACGTTTGTTTGATCCCTGGCTAATGTAGGAGCTCTAGAAACTACAGTTGAAGTCAGAAGTTTACATACACTGTCACGCCCTGGCTCTGGGGACTCTTAATTGTTGAGCCAGGGTGTGGATTTTCTATGTTTTGGTTTGCTATGGTTTTTCGTTCTAGATCGGTTAGATCTATGTTGGCCAGGGTGGTCCCCAATCAGAGGCAGCTGTAGCTCGTTGTCTCTGATTGGGAACCATACTTAGGCAGCCTGTTTTCACTAGTCATTGTGGGATCTTGTTCCGAAAGGTTTGTGTTAACCTAGGACTTCACGTTTCGTTTGTTGTTTTGTTCGTGTGGTGTACTTCAATAAAATATGTACGTTTATCACGCTGCGCCTTGGTCCGCTTCATCATGTAACGATCGTGACAGAAGATCCCACCACGACTGGATCAAGCAGCGTGAAGAGGAGAGAGGATGGACTTGGGAGGAGAGGAGAGAGAGTCTGGCGAGAGGCATGGAGGCCATGTTCACGGGGGAGAGACAAGCCACAAAAAAATTTTTTGGGGGGCTCACGCCGTGGACGACGAGGCAGCAGGAGGCCGCGATAGAGCGGTTCAGCCGGTTAGCAGAGGAGGCCGCCAGGTTACGGGGGCTATTGGTCACGAGGGAGAAGGAGAGTGTGGAGGCACGGCGAGAGGAACTGGTTAGGCAGCAGAGGGAGAGGAGGTTTATGAGGAAACCCAGTCCCGCTCCTCGCACCAAGCAAGTGGTGTGTGTCACCAGTCCGGTCCGGCCCGTTCCTGATTCCCGCACAAGGCCAGTGGTGTGTGTTCCCAGTACGGTCAGGCCCGTTCCTGCTCCCCGCACTAAGCCTGTGGTGCGCGTCGCCAGCCCGGTCCGGCCTGTTCCTGCTCCCCGCACCAAGCCAATGGTGCGCGTCGTCAGCCCGGTCCGGCCCGTTCCTGCTCCCCGCACCAAGCCAGTGGTGCGCGTCGCCAGCCCGGTCCGGCCTGTTCCTGCTCCCCGCACCAAGCCAATGGTGCGCGTCGTCAGCCCGGTCCGGCCCGTTCCTGCTCCCCGCACCAAGCCAGTGGTGCGCGTCGTCAGCCCGGTCCGGCCCGTTCCTGCTCCCCGCACCAAGCCAGTGGTGCGCGTCGTCAGTCCGGTCCGGCCTGTTCCTGCTCCCCGTACCAAGCCAATGGTGCGCGTCGTCAGCCCGGTCCGGCCCGTTCCTGCTCCCCGCACCAAGCCAGTGGTGCGCGTCGTCAGCCCGGTCCGGCCCGTTCCTGCTCCCCGCACCAAGCCAGTGGTGCGCGTCGTCAGTCCGGCACGGTCCGTGCATGTTCCACCGGAGCCTGGTCCGGCACCGGTCAGCTGCTCCACGCCGGAGCCAGAGCAATCCGCTCCACCGGTGTTCAGTCCAGCTCCGGCCAGCGGGGCCAGACCAGACCAGGGGCACAACGGGGGGGTTGAGAGAGTGTGGTGGTCACGCCCGGAGCCGGATCCGCCTCCGAGGTGGAATGCCCACCCGGCCCCTACCCTCTTGTGTTTGGTTGGCGCGGTCGCAGTCCGCGCCTTTGGGGGGGGGTACTGTCACGCCCTGGCTCTGGGGACTCTTAATTGTTGAGCCAGGGTGTGGATTTTCTATGTTTTGGTTTGCTATGGTTTTTAGTTCTAGATCGGTTAGATCTATGTTGGCCAGGGTGGTTCCCAATCAGAGGCAGCTGTAGCTCGTTGTCTCTGATTGGGAACCATACTTAGGCAGCCTGTTTTCACTAGTCATTGTGGGATCTTGTTCCGAAAGGTTTGTGTTAACCTAGGACTTCACATTTCGTTTGTTGTTTCGTTCGTGTGGTGTACATCAATAAAATATGTACGTTTATCACGCTGCGCCTTGGTCCGCTTCATCATGTAACGATCGTGACATACACTTAGGTTGGAGTCATTAAAACTTGTTTTTCAACAACTCCACACATTTCTTGTTAACAAACTATAGTTTTGGCAAGTCTGTAATTTTTCCAACAATTGTTTACAGACAGAGTGGATTATAAGTGAAATAATCTATCACAATTCCAGTGGGTCAGAAGTTGACTGTGCCTTTAAACAGCTTGGAAAATTCCAGAATATGATGTCATGGCTTTAGAAGTTTCTGATAGGCTAATTGATATTATTTGAGTCAATTGGAGGTGTCCCTGTGGATGTATTTCAAGGCCTACCTTCAAACTCAGTGCCTCTTTGCTTGACTTCATGGGAAAATGAAAAGAAATCAGACAATCCCACAGAAAAAAATGTGTAGACCTCCACAAGTCTGGTTCCTCCTTGGGAGCAATTTCCAAATGCCTGAAGGTACCACGTTCATCTGTACAAACAATAGTACGCAAGTATAAACCCCATGGGACCACGCAGCCGTCATACCGCTCAGGAAGGAGACACGTTCTGTCTCCTAGAGATGAGCGTACTTTGGTGTGAAAAGTGTAAATCAATCCCAGAACAACAGCAAAGGACCTTGTGAAGATGCTGGAGGAAACAGGTACAACTGTATCTATATCCACAGTAAAACAAGTCCTATATCGACATAACCTGAAAGGCCGCTCAGCAAGGAAGAAGCCACTGCTCCAAAACCACCATAAAAAAGCCAGACTACGGTTTGCAACTGCACATGGGGACAAAGATCGTACTTTTTGGAGAAATGTCCTCTGGTCTGATGAAACAAAAATTAAACTGTTTGGCCATAATGACCATCGTTATGTTTGGAGGAAAAAGGGGGATGCTTGCAAGCCGAAGAACACCATCCCAACCATTAAGCACAGGCGTGGCAGCATCATGCTGTGGGGGTGCTTTGCTGCAGGAGGGACTGGTGCACTTCACAAAATAGATGGCATCATGAGGAAGGAAAATTATGTGGATATATTGAAGCAACATCTCAAGACATCAGTCAGGAAGTTAAAGCTTGGTCGCAAAAAGGTCTTCCAAATGGACAAAGACCCCAAGCATACTTCCAAAGTTGTGGCAAAATGGCTTAAGGACACCAAAGTCAAGGTATTGGAGTGTCCACCTCAATCCTATAGACAATGTGTGGGCAGAACTGAAAAAGCGTGTGCGAGCAAGGAGGCCTACAAACCTGATTCAGTTACACCAGCTCTGTCAGGAGGAATGGGCCAAAATTCAAACGTTTGGCCCAAGTTAAACAATTTAAAGGCAATGCTACCAAATACTAATTGCGTGTATGTAAACTTCTGACCCACTGGGAATGTGATGAAAGAAATAAAAGCTGAAATAAATCATTCTCTCTACTATTATTCTGACATTTCACATTCTTAAAATAAAGTGGTGATCCTAACTGACCTAAGACAGGGAATTTTTACTAGGATTAAATGTCAGGAATTGTGAAAAACTGAGTTTAAATGTATTTGGCTAAGGTGTATGTAAACTTCCGACTTCAATTGTATATGACAAGAATAGTCACACACAGGCTGGCCATAGGAAACATACAAACCACAAGCTCTAAAATCATGTGTTGTGGTCAGATCCTTAAACAACTGTCTGGTTCACAGATACCTGGAAATACACACACAATTGCCAGGACCACTGACATGCACACACGTGACAGGGGAGAAAGGGGTTGACCCTGTAATGTCATGGGTTAATCTCTTAACGTGGTTGACCACGCCTATGAGAAGAAAATCCACTTCTTAACCATCTGTCATCGCCCCACACACTCATTTCACTTTCTTCCAAGGAAAACTTGCCAAACAAACGTGAACAGAGTTTACAACTATGCTATGAACTGTTGATTGCATTAATAATTTTAACGTTTTGGGCCGGTGTCCTGGACACAGATTAAGCCTAGTCCTGGAAGCACTTTGAATGGAGAATCTGTCCCTCAAAGTTAATTATTCTGGAACTCACATTTTCTTCCCACAAAATAGGCCTGAAACTGTCTGAAACTGCCCTGTCATAAAACTATATGATAATTGAAAAGTAATTAATAAGCAAGTTATCGGCGATTCTTGTCCCTAAACAAACTAGGCATCCACAAATAGCTGACCCACGAATACATCTCTCAGCCTCTGATACCAGACTTCAGCTACTGTCTGTCTTCAAGTCTTAGCTCTTCACAGTGAGTTAGTCACTCAGCGAACAGTGCCCTCTAGTGCTAAGAGGAGATCATTGCTACACTCACACTCTTTTCACAATAACACATATCTTCACACAGCGCCAGTAACTATGTCAACATTGATACTCGCCCTGTCGGCATATCCTCAGGTGACAACTTATCTATTTGCACGTGTGTATTACCTAAGTATCTGCTACCTCACTTTAATAACGACCTGGGTTGTCCTTTGCCAGGATCCCATACCACACATTACCTTGCACCCAAATCGCCCCCAACCACAGATTTGAAAAAATTAGACAGGTAATATGGCACATGCAAAAGTGAAATGGAAGAAGCTCCAAGGTGGAGCTATTATCATATTGCTTAAACCTATCCTTCCCGATTTACACACGTGCTTGGGTACTGGGTAGTGGCTCATTATAGCATCTACCCTTAGACACTTCTCAATGGCCCCTTGTCAATCTGAAAGGATGGGGTTGGTGAAAGCAATATGTTAGTTGTCTAAACCGAGCCCCTCAGGCACCGTGCACACATCTCAAACTAAGATGCTGCTTTGTGTCACCAAGACTGGAGACGTCTTCCTCTGACACCCCCCCCCCCCCCCCCTTCCCACTCCCTCCTCAACCAAACTTCCCCTATCAACAAGTCTCATGTCTCCAAATCACCCCCATCCCCACCCCCACATCAATGTCACATTCACTCTCAGGGACAACTCCCCAACCAATACCACAGTACAGCCACGCAGCTTGGGCTTCTCAGGGTAACCCTTGGGCCAGTCGCTACAACGTTGGGTTCTCCCCATACCCCCTGCCCTGAGAAGCCCCTGCCTCTGTCCATGTCCCAGCATTGTTTTGGAAATGGGAACCAGGCCTCGGCTGTGCCCACAATGGTTGCCGCGGTGACCGCACCCTGACATACACACACAGTCACACTAAAAGGGGTAGAGGGGCCTGTAGGAATGAGAATAGGCCTGGGAACTGTGTGTGTTAGGGAAGATATCAGTATTACAACATTTTCTCATGGCTCTCTCTTATCCCTCTGCAGCAGACATATGGTGAACAATATGTTTGGAACATCAAATCCCAATAAAATCGCAGTATCAAATCGAAATACATATAGAATGGTGATAAATTGTGATACATATTGTATCGGCGCCTACTGTAAGTATTGAATAATATCGTATTGTGAGGTCCCTGACCTAACTGGTGTAGTATTGGGATAGTACCTGGATAGTTGATCATATAAAAGGATAAGGTGTAATATTGAGTGAATTGTAGTGACATAGCAACAGCTGAAGCAGTGACTCACCCGGAGGCGATAAGGGCTCTGGACTGGGCCATGGCGATGCGCTGCAGGGCGGGCCGGCTCAGCCCAGCCAGGCTGGCACGGGGAGGCAGGGGGGCGGCACAGGCCGCCGCCGCTGAAGACACCGGCCCCAGGACACGGGCAGAGGGCGAGGGGGTGCAGGAGGAAGCAGCTGTGGAGATTAGAGGAGGAGGGGGTGGCGCGGGCATCGACGGAGGGGCAGAGGAAGCCATGGATGCCATGGAGAAGGAAGAGGAGGGGGGAAGAGTGGCACTGTTGGAGGCGATGGAGGAGGGCGGAGGAGGTGGAGGAGGCGGAAGGGGGGGTAGAGGCGGGGGAGGGGGCCGGGTAGAGGAGAGGGACAGGGCAGCAGTGGCCGAACCCAGGAGGGAGAGCGAGTGGGCGAAGCCACCGCCCCCTCCAACCCCCAAGCCACCGCTAGCCCCACCCACGGACGTCCTGTGGGGGGACAGGGACCTGCCCATGGAGGAGGGGGGGCGGGGGAGGGTCAGCGAGTAGGACCCCCCCATGGCCGAGTAACCCCCACCCAATTTGGGGCTAGGAGGCTTGTTCTGAGGTGGCCTCCTGCCCAGGGTGTGGGCCGTTGCCATGGCACCCGCCTTGACGCTCAGGAGCAGCATGCATTGCTGACAGGCACAGGGCTGGCCCAGGGAGGTAATGGCGGAGGCTGGCAGGGCGCCGCTGGGGTAGGCGCTACCGTTCCCATTCCCCATCCCGCTCACCCCCACCCCCATGCCTACTCCGGACACCCCCAACAGTCCCCCGGGGCCGGGCCCCCAGGCGTGGTGTGACTTGGGAAGGGGACCCGACACCAGTGGGTAAGCCAGGTCGGAGCGGCGCTGGATGCGGCGGCAACGTTGCGTCTGCCCGTTGATCTGGGTCATGCTCTGGAAGTCGATGAGGTAGCAGAAGCCCAGCGGTGCCAGGTCCAGCCAGGGCTGCTGGCGATCGCGTGCCGCCTGGATGGCGATGCCCACCTCCGTGTCGTAGGCCGTCCACGAGCCTGTGTCGTTCTCCCACTCCCACAGCCAGCCCTGACCCGGCGCCGATGTGGGGTCGTAGAAGCTGCGGCGCACCGGTCGGAGGGTACCTGGGGTAACGGTAGAAAGACGAGGGTCACGCCATAGAACTACAGAGATGGGAACAAGAGGGACCTGTTCCAGAAGACCTGTCATACACTCACTGTTCACAACACTGATTACATGTATTATTACACTAACACACTGCAATAGTAGACGTACATTGACACAAATCACTAGTAATTTTCTAGCCACATGATTGTGTTTCTACTTTTATGTGATTTGACCAGTTCAAGTTAAAAAAGAAAAGGAAAAATAATGATTACATTTTTTTATTAGGCTTTGTTGTTGACTGAGACCAACAGAGCTACATGAGCTGAATGTTCTGTAGGCCCTGCTGTAATATTTGTTGCAGACAAGCAGATTACACAACCAGCAAATTTGACATATAGGTGTGTGCTCGCTAAGAATTTGGGCAAACAGGCTAACAGGTTGCCCTTGGTAACAGCCCACAATGTTCTGGATTGTGATTGGTCGCTGGCCTTGGTCGGGCTCAGAGCTGGTCATGTTTGCTTTCCCAGGGAGTCCAGAGACAAAACTCTGAGAATTTTCAATAAAGCCCTGTCCATACCAACTGTCCATCTATTACCTGGGATTTAAAGAACTTCTAAGGAAGACCATTGTGTGCAGCTCACCCTGCACTATCAGCTCCAATATAAATAACATGAGCAAGTCTACTCCTGATAAGCTTCACAATAAAGCATTAAAAACAATCAAGCAATCCAGAAAAGTGCTAAAAATAGCCCATATTAACATATGCAGCCTTCAAGGTTCATGAAGTCAATAACTTGCTTGTAACAGACGACTTTCATATTCTGACTATTTCTGAAACTCACTTACAGTTGAAGTCGGAAGTTTACATACACTTAGGTTGGAGTCATTAAAACTTGTTTTTCAACCACTCCACACATTTCTTGTTAACAAACTATAGTTTTGGCAAGTCGGTTAGGACATCTACTTTGTGCATGACACAAGTAATTTTTCCAATAATTGTTCACAGACAGATTATTTTACTTATAATTCACTGTATCACAATTCCAGTGGGTCAGAAGGTTACATACACTAAGTTGACTCTGCCTTTAAACAGCTTGGAAAATTCCAGAAAATGATGTCATGGCTTTAGAAGCTTCTGATAGGCTAATTGACATCATTTGAGTCAATTGGAGGTGTACCTGTGGATGTATTTCAAGGCCTACCTTCAAACTCAGTGCCTCTTTGCTTGACATCATGGGAAAATCAAAAGAAAATCAGCCAAGACCTCAGAAAATAAATTGTAGACCTCCACAAGTCTGGTTCATCCTTGGGACCAATTTCCAAATGCCTGAAGGTACCACATTCATCTGTACAAACAATTGTATGCAAGTATAAACTCCATGGGACCACGCAGCTGTCATACCGCTCAGGAAGGAGACGCGTTCTGTCTCCTAGAGATGAATGTACTTTGGGGCGAAAAGTGCAAATCAATCCCAGAACAACAGCAAAGGACCTTGTGAAAATGCTGGAGGAAAGAGGTACAAAAGTATCTGTATCCACAGTAAAACGAGTCCTATATCGACATAACCTGAAAGGCCGCTCAGCAAGGAAGAAGCCACTGCTCCAAAACCGCCATAAAAAAGCCAGACTACGGTTTGCAACTGCACATGGGGACAAAGATCGTACTTTTTGGAGAAATGTCCTCTGGTCTGATTAAACAAAAATAGAACTGTTTGGCCATAATGACCATCGTTATGTTTGGAGGAAAAGGGGGGTGCTTGCAAACCGAAGAACACCATCCCAACCGTGAAGCACAGGGGTGGCAGCATCATGCTGTGAGGGTGCTTTGCTGCAGGAGGGACTGGTGCACTTCACAAAATAGATGGCATCATGAGGAAGGAAAATTATGTGGATATATTGAAGCAACATCTCAAGACATCAGTCAGGAAGTTAAAGCTTGGTCGCAAATGGGTCTTCCAAATGGACAATGACCCCAAGCATATTTCCAAAGTTATGGCAAAATGGCTTAAGGACAACAAAGTCAAGGTATTGGAGTGGCCATCACAAAGCCCTGACCTCAATCCTATAGAAAATGTGTGGGCAGAACTGAAAAAGCGTGTGCGAGCAAGGAGGCCTACAAACCTGACTCAGTTAAACTAGCTCTGTCCGGAGGAATTGGCCAAAATTCACCCAACTTATTGTGGGAAGCTTGTGGAAGGCTACCCGAAACGTTTGACCCAAGTTAAACAATTTAAAGGCAACGCTACCAAATACTAATTGAGTGTATGTAAACTTCTGACCCACTGGGAATGTGATGAAAGAAATAAAAGCTTAAATAAATCTTTCTCTCTACTATTATTCTGACATTTCAATTGTTTTTTATAAAGTGGTGATCCTAATGTCAGGAATTGTGAAAAACTGAGTTGAAATGTATTTGGCTAAGGTGTATGTAAAGTTCCGACTTCAACTGTAGATAATACCTTTGATGATACAGTGGTAGCAATACATGGTTATAACATCTAACGAAAAGACAGAAATGCCAATGGGGGCAGTGTTGCGGTCTATATTCAGAACCACATTCCTGTAAAGCTTAGAGACGATCTTATGTTAGATACTGTTGAAGTAATATGGCTACAGGTTCATCTGCCTCACCTAAAGCCCATTATTGTAGGAAGCAGCTATAGACCACCAAGTGCTAACAGTCAGTATCTGGATAATATGTGTGATAATGTATGTGATATCAACAGAGAAGTATATTTTCAGGGTGATTTAAATATTGACTGGCTCTCATCAAGCTGCCCACTCAAGAAAAAACTTCAAACTGTAACCAGTGAGTGTCACGGTCGTCTATGTCGTCTAAGTATGACCAAGGCGCAGCGTGTCCAAGAAACATGACTTTATTAATTAAACGTTATAGAACTACAAAACAAAAGACGACTCAATGAAGTCCACGGTACACTGACCGAAACGGAACAAAAACCCACAATCCCACAGGAAAACATACAGATAAATATGGCTCCCAATCAGAGATAACGAGCCGACAGCTGACACTCGTTACCTCCGATTGGGAGTCATTGACCAAACCTAGAAACGAACCCCACAGAAATGCAAACATAGAAATACACCCAAATACCCAACAAAACAAAATACACCCTGGCTCAAATACAAAAGTCCCGGAGCCAGAGTGTCACAGTACCCCCCCCTAAAGGTGCGAACTCCGGGCGCACCAGCATACAGTCTAGGGGAGGGTCTGGGTGGGCGTCTGTCCACGGTGGCGGTTCTGGCCCTGGTCGTGGTCCCCACCCCACCTTAGTCACTATCCGCTTCCGTAGCCTCCTCCACATGACCACCCCCCAACTAAACCCCACTGGATTAAGGGGCGGCACCGGACTAAAGGGCAGCACCGGACTAAGGGGCAGCACCGGACTAAGGGGCAGCACCAGGATAAGGGGCAGCACCGGGCTAAGGGACAGCACCGGACTCAATGGCGGATCCTGGCTGGCTGGCTCTGGCGGATCCTGGCTGGACGGCTCTGGCGGATCCTGGCTGGACGGCTCATGGCTGGCTGAAGGATCTGGCTGCTCATGGCTGGCTGACGGATCTGGCCGCTCATGGCTGGCTGACGGATCTGGCTGCTCATGGCTGGCCGACGGATCTGGCTGCTCATGGCTGGCCGACGGATCTGGCTGCTCATGGCTGGCTGAAGGATCTGGCTGCTCATGGCTGGCTGACGGATCTGGCTGCTCATGGCCGGCTGGCGGCTTTGCAGGCTCAGTCCAGACGGCCAGTTCAAGCGCCTTTGGGCAGACGGGCAGTTCAGGCCCCGTTGGGCAGACGGCAGACTCTGGCCGTCTGAGGCGCACCGTAGGCCTGGTGCGTGGTGCCGGAACTGGAGGTACCGGGCTGAGGACACGCATCTCAGGGCTAGTGCGGGGAGAAGCAACAGGGCATGCTGGACCCTGGGAACGCACATAAAGCCTAGTGCGGGGAGAAGGAACAGGGCATGCTGGACCCTGGGGACGCACATAAGGCCTAGTGCGGAGAGCCGGAACAGGGCATGCTGGACCCTGGGGACGCACATAAGGCCTAGTGCGGAGAGCAGCAACAGGACGCACAGGACTCGGGGAACACACAGGAGGCTTGGTGCGTGGTGTAGGCACTGGTGGTACTGGGCTGGAGCGGGGAGGTGGCGCCGGAAATACCGGACCGTGCAGGCTTACTGGCCCCCTTGAGCACTGAGCCTGCACAACCTTACCCGGGTTGATGCTCCCCGTCGCCCGACCAGTACGGGGAGGTGGAATAACCCGCACCGGCCTATGTGGGCGAACCGGGAACACCATGCGTAAGGCTGGTGCCATGTACGCCGGCCCGAGAAGACGCACTGGTAGCCGGATGCGTTGGCCGGCCTCATGACATCTGGCTCAACGCTCACTCTAACCCGGCCGATACGTGGAGCTGGAATGTACCGAACCGGGCTATGCCTGCGTACAGGAGACACCATGCGCTCAACTGCGTAACACGGTGTCTGCCCGTACTCTCGCTCTCCACGGTAAGTCCAGGGAGTAGGCGCAGGTCTCCTACCTGACTTCGCCACACTCCCTTTAAGCCCCCCCCCAAGAAATTTTTGGGTAGTACCCACGGGCTTCCAGCCTTGACTCCGTGCTGCCTCCTCATACCGCCTCCTCTCGGCTTTAGCTGCCTCCAGCTCTTCACGAGGGCGGCGATATTCTCCCGGTTGTGCCCAAGGACCCTTTCCAGCCAGTATCTCCTCCCATGTCCATGAATCCTTTGGAGCTGGGTCCTGTTGCCGCTTGACACGCTGCTTGGTCCTCTTATGGTGGGTTTTTCTGTCACGGTCGTCTATGTCGTCTAAGTATGACCAAGGCGCAGCGTGTCCAAGAAACATGACTTTATTAATTAAACGTTATAGAACTACAAAACAAAAGACGACTCAATGAAGTCCACGGTACACTGACCGAAACGGAACAAAAACCCACAATCCCACAGGAAAACATACAGATAAATATGGCTCCCAATCAGAGATAACGAGCCGACAGCTGACACTCGTTACCTCCGATTGGGAGTCATTGACCAAACCTAGAAACGAACCCCACAGAAATGCAAACATAGAAATACACCCAAATACCCAACAAAACAAAATACACCCTGGC